GTTCTGACATCCAGTGTCTTCTGTGTCCAGTGCACTAAGGCTGGTCCTTAAAAATTAAATACTAGCAATACTAACAATGGGTCCCTAATTCATAACAGACCAACATACAAAGGAAGAGTCAACATTTCCCCCCAAGTATTGGAGGTAATAACAGAAAGAAATCATTTGCTAAGAAGGATAGGACAGACACACCACAAAAATTACCCCATCAGTGAATATTATACCCAACTAATGATTTTTCTTTGTGTTGAAAAATATCATTTTCTCAGTATTAGCACCAAGGAAAGCAGAAGCATCTGGATGAAACTGAATTAAAAGTTCTCCTCTACAATATTTAATTGGCATACATGAGTGCATATATATATGACAGTGAGTTGTGTGTGTGTGTGTATATAATGAAGGAAGAAAATATGAAAAGGTTTAACTATTGCCCATGATATTTGATTTGACTGATAATATTTTGTGATATATCTCAAAAAAATGGATGCCTTTTAAATATTAATTCTATAATAGAAATTTAAAGATGAATGATCCTACTCTATGGTTACTATAATCCACTTATAATATATGTAATTTAATTCTGTGGATGAAATTATGGAAATATAAATTTAACCCAAAACCTATTCTGTATTTCAGAAGGGGATAGGCAGAAGTCTATTTCCCCTTAGCACCAACCAAAAAGCACAAGATAAAATAGTTGCATAAGTAGTACCCATAATTCTCAATTATTTTTTGAGCAGTGTTTTTGCAAGTGACAATTTCCATAGAGTCAAGGTGAGAAAGGAAAAGAGGTAGAATTCAGGGCTGTAGCCTCTATTTTCCATTCAAGGACTAACCTGCAATGTTTCTTCTGTTCAGAGTCATTTGGAGTTGGCTGGACTATGGAAAACTCTGAAAGTTACAGCTGCTGACCCATCCAAGAGAACATAGAACCCCTGACCTGATTGGATGGATTTTCCTACCAGCATTGATGAGACCCATTCTACAATCTTCTTGTGAGTAAAACTTTCTGAGTAAAGGAATTCATATTTCTTTCCCTTAAAAATAAAAAAATTTTTTTAATTTAACAACAGACTTAAGAATTTCTCAGGTGTATGAAATATTCCTAGTTAATAAAAACTATGTAATTACTTTCAGTTTACTCTGGAGCCATAGAATTATAATCCCTACAAATGTTTGAAATTTATAAAGGAATACAAATGTTTCTGCTAATTTATGATTTCTATGGTGTAAAAGTAAGATGTGGGTTTCTGGAGAGGAAATCCTAGACAGGTAGTTTTTCCATTTGGCATGATACCTAAAACTTGGTTGGGAACCTGCGTTGTAGAAGGTGAAGAGTAATGCTTCTTCAGGAAAGTTTGCAGCTTCGGTCTTTAAAGTGCCCCATGACAATCCAGCAACTGGTGATGGCTGCGAAAATGTAACACTGGTGACACACTGAATACCAGAAAGCAGAGGAACTTCTGCACTCGCTCTGATATAGAAGTGGGAATTTTGATTAATTTCTGTCATTTATTTGAAAGCACGGTATATCAGATGGCACTGGTTTTTATTTTAACTTGGAATTTTCATATTTCCAAATGGGACAACACTTGTGATAGGATAGTCAATCTGATATGATTGGCAATATATTGATCTGCTAGTCTAAGAAATGGATTCCCTTTACATTAAGGTCACTTAAATTCACGGGTGTCAATGTCAACAAGAAGAGAAAATTCAATTGTTTGAATTCTCAAAACTGAAGGTTGTAGTTAAAAAGAGACTAATACACTGCTAATGAATTATTTTTATTAGTGATAGATAGGAATGAGTTTTTAATAGAATAGAATATTGAACAATAATTTTGTTTAGTGTAGGTATACTGTGTGTGTAATGTCATTTTTTTTTCTCAAGTTGCTCTATCAATGGGTGGTAAGAAGACTATTTTTGTGTATCAGTGCAGGAGACAAAATGCAAAGAAGTGCTTCTGCTGCCAGCTCCTAAAGTACCTGCACATTTCTCCATAATGGCAGTTTTTATTGATATCTTATTTGTTCGTATCTGTGAGCTTCCGTTGAGAGATATGTTTTCGTCATCTTTATATCTCTACCAAAACAGAGAGTACCTGTCTTATTGTATATGATTGTATTTAATATACATTAATATAAATAATGTCTACTGATGTTACCAGAAATGAGATATCTAGGTCTTTAGCTCCTTGGCCCTTACATACATCTTTACACTTCTCTTCCTTTCACCTCCCTATCGTACTTCCACGATATGTTCGTTAGATTAATTATATCAGTTATTCTCTTTTGTTAAAAAAAGATGTAGCTCAGCCAAGAGCTGTATTGTGAGTACAATTCCTGTTTCTTATAACATCTTCATTCCGCAGTTTACAAGTTTATTTTCTGTGGCTTTCTCTAAACCTATCACACACTCAACCTGAAACTCTGAACTGAAACCTCTTCTCAAGATATACAAACATATTAGTAATCCCTGAATTTCATCTAGAAGCTGTCTGTCCCTTTCAGGTTCAGTTTCCCACTGTTACAAGCCTTTGGGAACCTCAACTCCTTGTAGGTTCCACTCACCAGGCTAATAATATTGTTAGTATCCCCTAACTAATGAACGATTTAATGAAATCGTTCATTAAACGATTGAGCTATCTGTGATAAATTGTTTCCCGCTTTTCTGATGAATGGAGTCTATTTTTAAAACTGAAAAGCTCTTCTTAAAATCTTTACTTTTAGGAATTTTTTTACCTTTTTCATAATTTAGGTAAGTAAATAAACTCTCTTAATGTTTTTAGTTTCCTCATCTAAGTCCTGGGATAATAATAAATGTAAGCTATTTGGAAAAATGCCTGGCTCGTAAAAGTGCCACACATAAAAACTACAGCAGAACTGTATTTCAACCTTCATTGTTTTAAATACATTATCTTATCTTTTACAATAATTGGAAAGAAAACAATTTTTCCTCTCCAGATTCAAATTTCAAATATTCCACTTTTCATTTGTAAAGGTGATTTTATATAATTTTCCACCTTTTTTCTTAGTTACCATATATCTGAGAAGGCTTAGTTTTACACTAGAGGAATATCCTAAGAGATTGTTCAAGGTGTTTGGGGCAAGATCTTATTATGTACCACAGATATGAAGTTAGAAAAGATTGTCTTTTCTATCCAACTAATTGGATAAATGGATACGAGAAAATTGTGCGCTGTTACAGTTCTTCCACTTGTTTAAATTCTAGTAAGTACCAGGAATTTTGTGGGGAGTTTTCTGAAGGAGGTAACGCTTTCACTATGGCTTAAAGACTGATAAAGTTAAGAAAATAAATACTCTAAATATTACATAATTTTCACTAAATCCTTTCCATTTAAAGACAAAAATTATGGCTTAATAGAATGCATTTATTCTAATGGACAGAGTCCATTAGTCTATAAATCAGTCATTAACTTAAGGTTCAAGTGTTCATGACTGATCCATGAAGTGCTCAGAGCAGGATGCAAGTTTGGAGGGTCTCCTAGGCTTGTCTCATTTCTATTTCTAGCTCCTCAGTTGCACATTCAGTCCATGGCCATCAGGACCCTTCTTAGAAGGTAGCTATGCTCTGGAATCCTATGGAGTGTTACTGTTTTAGAGAAGATTAGATTCACAGTAAAATTGAGTAGAACGTACAGAGAGTTCCCATATACCTCCTGCCTCCTCCAAATAAACACACACACAGTATCGCCCATCACCATACACTGTACCAGAGTGGTGTATTTATTCCAATTGAAGAACCTACACCGGCACTTCGTTATCACCCAAAGTCCATGGTTTTACATTAGTGTTCACTCTTGGTGTTGTATATTCTGTAGGTTTTGACTGATGTATAGTGAACATGTGGAATCATGTGTCCACCTTTATAATATACAGAAGAGTTACACTGCCCTAAAAACCTTTTGTGATCACCTATTCATTAGTACCCCCAGCCTCAACCCTTTGCAACCACTGATTATTTTACTGTCATCATATTTTTACTTTTTCCAGAATGTCCTATAGTAGGGCTCATGAAGCACGTAGACTTTTCAGATTAGCTTCTTTCACTTAGGGATATGCATTCAAGTATATGTCATGTGTCTTGATGGCTTCATGGCTCATTTCTTTTTAGCACTGAATACTATTCCATTGTCTGGATGTACCAGAATTTCTTTATCCATTCACCTACCTAAGGACATCTTGGTTGCTTTCAAGTTTTGACAATAATGAGCAAAGCTGCTATAAACATCGCTGTGCAGGTTTTTTTTTTTTTAATGAATATGGGTTTTCAACTGATTAGGGCAAATACAAAGGAGCATGATTACCGAATTACATGGTAAGAGGATATTTAGTTTTGTAACAAACTGCCTTATTGTCTTTCAGAATGCCTGTACTAGTTTGCATTCCCATCAGCCATGAATCAAAGTTCCTGATTCTCCACATCCTCTCAGTATTCAGTGATGTCCTTGTTTTGGGAATTTGACCATTCTTATACATGTGTTGTGGTATCTCATTGCTATTTTAAAGCCCTTTCCTTTTCAAGCATTTTAATTTTTAAAGTTCCCTTCGTTTTCTCTTATCCTATGCCCCTTGAGTGAGTAGCCAGTCTTTAGTTTTGTTCATTTGTAGTTAAAACAAGCTGTGGTGAAGTTGATTGGAAGGCATGTTGGAACAGGGCCTGAGGATTTTTAATTGTATGAAAGGAGCTCTTAATGCTCAACATGAACCTCAACTCAGAATTTGGGCCTGTTTTCATTTACATTTTTAAAGGTAAATTAAATGATAGAAGGGACGTATCCCAGGTAGGGTGTGCTTTTCTTGTGTATCACATAGGAGAGAACCTTTCTTTTTCTTTCTCTTCAGAAACATAGAAATCACACACACTGCAGGACTTACAGAAATAACTCACCAGCTGAATCTTGAGAGTGAAGAAGCTGGAGATTTGCTGAGGTGTTTGAACTGCTGGGATGATATAAGTATCCCAAAGAACAAGAAATGGTGTTGCCTAAAGGCCAGGATGACAGGTCCAAAGAAGATATTGTGAAGTTATTGGAATATATGGTGAATAACATTCCATCCAATGACAGGCACATGTTCAAAACAACCCAGTCACTGATGGACTGGGAAAAAGTAGCTTTTAAAGATTTTCCTGGGGAAATGTGCAAACTCAAATGGTTAGAAATTTCTTATAACTTGAGAAAGTTTTGCACTTTGAAAGAATTAGTCCTGGAAGCAAAGGAAAATGTTGACAATCCTTACAAATGCAGAAAACACAAGAAGCGTCCTGATTTACCCAAGAAGCCCTTGACAGCTTACCTCTGCTTTTTCAAAAAGATGCAACTCCAGTACACCAAAAACACCCTAAGCTGAGCAACCAGGAGCTGACCAAGGTTCTGTCTGAGGAATACAAGAAGCTTCCAGAGCAGCTGAAGCTGAAATATAGTCAAGATTTCTAGAAGGAGAAACAGAAGTTTAAGGAGAAAATGACTCTGTCAGAGAACAGCACCCTGATCTGGTCCAGAGCTCCACGAAATCTGATGTCCCCAAAGGAAGCCAAATCAAAGTGCCAAAGAAGTTTCAGGGAAATGTGCAAAAAGTGGTCTCCCCCCCAAAACAGTTTATTCATGAAGAGCCCAAGAAGCCACCTACGAATGGCTATCACAAGTTCCACCAGGATTTGTGGTTGAGTAGGGAGCTGAAAGGGTTGCCCTGAGGGAGCACGTGGTAGAGATTAGTAGATGCTGGCAGTGTGTCCCACAGAACCAGAAGGAGCATTATAAGAAGGAGGCTGAGGAACTGCAGAAACAGTACAAGGTGGACCTTGATCTCTGACTCAAGAGTCTGTCTCCTGAAGAACATGCTTATTACAGAGAGACAACCTATTTGAAGCGTAAGAACATGAACATGATGGGAGACCCTAATCCCAAGATTAGGAGGATGGATCTGCAGTCCCCATCATCAGGGAATCTGCAGGGAGGGCTTAGACTGGGCCAGGGGCTTCAGGCTCCAGAGACAGAATTATCAGATATGATTGGAGAATATTTTCCTGCCTCAGGGAGATCAGAGGAAAATAAGGAAGATGAACAAGAGGAGAAAGGCAGCAACTCCTCAGACCACAGCAGTAGGTGAAGATGAAGATTGTGTCTGAGGACAGTGGCTGCAGCTCATCTACCTCAGGGGAATCCTCTGGCTCCGATTCCAGCTGAGCTTTTTTCACAACCTGAACAAAGAACTCCCCAGCAAAAGGCCATGGCATCTGGGCTTCCCTGGTGGTGCAGTGGTTGAGAGTCCGCCTGCCGATGCAGGGGACACGGGTTCATGCCCCGGTCTGGGAGGATCCCACATGCCGCGGAGCGGCTGGGCCCGTGAGCCATGGCCGCTGAGCCTGCGCGTCTGGAGCCTGTGCTCCGCAACAGGAGAGGCCACAACAGTGCGAGGCCCGCGTACCGCAAAAAAAAAAAAAAGGCCATGGCATCTTCATCAAATGGAAGGGCTCTTCTCCCTGTGCCCTTTCATTGCCTTCCTTCTTTCCTTCCCTCTTCAATACAAAGTATGACCAGTTGGGAAAAAGACATCTCGTGCAGTAATTTCTGGTTCCTCTCTGTACCCCAAGTCCACCCCCAGAGACAGTCAATGCCATGAATACTCTTGGAATAAACAATGATCTGATTGGGCTGCCGTACACTCTGGACTAGGCTGAGTTTCCTGAACAGAGAAGTTTTATTTTCCTCACCTTCTGCTGCCAGAGCTGTGAGGGAGCCCCGAGGAGTCTGTGACTCCTCCCTTCTCTGTGATCCTGTCCCTTAGGACTTCTGCATGGGAACAGGGAATGGGAAGATTTGATTGACTGGAGGTAGGAGAGTTGCCTTTAAGAAGATTGTCAAGCTCCTGATGTCTCTCTCCCTGCTCTGTGAAGTGAGAAGTTGGCCCTTCCCTATCTTGCTAGTGGCAGGGGCATGCGAGCAGCAGCATTTCTATATGTATATTTATCGCTTAGCTGTCACTGAGATTGTTCTTACTGATTTCAAAAATTAGAAATTAATTTTTAGAACTTCATCATTTCCATTTGAATTAACTCCTCCTTAAAATCAGTCTCCTTTGACTCTTGGCAGTAATTTTCCAGGCCATGTCTAAATTTATTTTGGTTCTGCCCCAATCCCTTCCTCATGCTCCAGGTTGTAAGTGAATAATGTTTTCACCATACACTTGATTTATGTGTATTACATTATGAGTTTGTACGTGTTGTGTGTATAAGTATTTTAGTCCATAGGCTACTAAACTTTTTGGAATTAATGTACAAATATGACACTGCTTTTATTATTTTGGTTTACTGATATATATATGTATATGTTTAACATCCTTAGTGCAGTATAATTACTTTACAGTGGTGTGTTAGTTTCTGCTTTACAACAAAGTGAATCAGCTATACATATACATTTATCTCCATATACCCTCCCTCTTGCATCTCCCTCCCACCCACCCTATCGCACACTTCTAGGTGGTCACAAACCACCGAGCTGATCTCCCTGTGCCATGCGGCTGCTTCCCACTAGCTACCTATTTTACGTTTGGTAGTGTATATATGTCCATGCCACTCTCTCACTTCATCCCAGCTGACCCTTCCCCCTCCCTGTGTCCTCAAGTCCATTCTCTACATCTGCGTCTTTATTCCTGTCCTGCCCCTATGTTCTTCAGAATCTTTTTTTTTTCAGATTCCATATATCTGTGTTAGCATATGGTATTTCTTTTTCTCTTTCTGACTTACTTCACTCTGTATGACAGTCTCTAGGTCCATCCACCTCACTACAAATAACTCAATTCCATTTCTTTTTATGGCTGAGTAATATTCCATTGTATATATGTGCTATTCCTCGGTTGATGGACATTTAGGTTGCTTCCATGTCCTGGCTATTGTAAATAGAGCTGCAATGAACATTGTGGTACATGTCTCTTTGTGCACTATGGCTTTCTGAGGGTACATGCCCAGTAGTGGAATCGCTGGGTCGTATGGTAGCTCTATTTTTAGCTTTTTGAGGAACCTCCATACTGTTCTCCATAGTGGCTGTATCAATTTACATTCCCACCAACAGTACAAGAGGGTTCCCTTTTCTCCACACCCTCTCCAGCATTTATTGTTTCTAGATTTTTTGATGATGGCCACTCTGACTGGTGTGAGGTGATACCTCATTGTAGTTTTGCTTCCCATTTCTCTAATGATTAGTGACGTGGAGCATCCTTTCATGCGTCTGCTGGCAATCTGTATATCTTCTTTGGAGAAATGTCTATTTAGGTCTTCTGTCCATTTTTGGATTGGGTTTTTCTTTTTTGATATTGAGCTGCATGAGCTGCTTGTATATTTTGGAGATTAATCTTTTGTCAGTTGCTTCATTTGCAAATATTTTCTCCCATTCTGAGGGCTCTCTTTTCCTCTTGTTTATGGTTTCCTTTGCTGTGCAAAAGCTTTTAAGTTTCATTAGGTCCCCTTTGTTTATTTTTGTTTTTATTTCCATTTCTCTAGGAGGTGGGTCAAAAAGGATCTTGCTGTGATTTATGTCATAGAGTGTTCTGCCTACGTTTTCCTCTAAGAGTTTATAGTGTCTGGCCATATATTTAGGTCTTTAATCCATTTTGAGTTTATTTTTGTGTATGGTATTAGGGAGTGTTCTAATTTCATTCTTTTACATGTAGCTGTCCAGTTTTCCCAACACCACTTATTGAAGAGGTTGTCTTTTCACCATTGTATATTCTTGCCTCCTTTATCAAAGATAAAGTGACCATATGTGTGTGGGTTTATCTCTGGGCTTTCTATCCTGTTCCACTGATCTACACTTCTGTTTTTGTGCCAGTACCATATTGTCTTGATTCCTGTAGTTTTGTAGTATGTTCTGAAGTCAGGAAGCCTGATTCCTCCATCTCCATTTTTGTTTCTCAAGATTGCTTTGGCTATTTGAGGTCTTTTTGTTTCCATAAAAATTGCGAAGTTTTTTTTCTAGTTCTGTGAAAAATGCCGTTGGTAGTTTGATAGGCATTGCACTGAATTTGTAGATTGCTTTGGGTAGTATAGTCTATTTCACAATGTTGATTCTTCCAATCCAAGAACATGGTATATCTCTCCATCTGTTTGTGTCATCTTTAATTTCTTTCATCAGTGTCTTATAGTTTTCTGCATACAGATCTTTTGCCTTCTGAGGTAGGTTTATTCCTAGGTATTTTATTCTTTTTGTTGCAATGGTAAATGGGAGTGTTTCCTTGATTTCTCTTTCAGATATTACATCATTAGTGTATAGGAATGCAAGAGACTTCTATGCATTAATTTTGTATCCTGCTACTTTACCAAATTCATTGATTAGCTCCAGTAGTTTTCTGGTAGCATATTTAGGATTCTTTAAGTATAGTATCATGTCATCTGCAAACAGTGACAGTTTTACTTCTTCTTTTCCAATTTGGATTCCTTTTATTTCTTTTTCTTCTCTGTGGCTAAAACTTCCAAAACTATGTTGAATAATAGTGGTGAGAGTGGGCAACCTAGTCTTGCTCCTGATCTTAGTGGAAATGGTTTCGGTTTTTCACCTTTGAGAATGATGCTGAATGTGGGTTTGTCATATACGGCCTTTATTATGTTGAGGTAAGTTCCCTCTATGTGTACTTTCTGGAGTGTTTTTATCATAAATGGGTGTTGAATTTTGTTGAAAGCTTTTTCTGCATCTACTGAGATGATCATATTGTTTTTATCCTTCAGTTTGTTAATATGGTGTATCACATTGTTTGATTTGTGTATATTGAAGAATCCTTGCATTCCTGGGATAAACCACACTTGATGATGTTGTATGTTCCCCTTAATGTGCTGTTGGATTCTGTTTGCTAGTATTTTGTTGAGGATTTTTGCATCTATGTTCATCAGTGATATTGGCCTGTAGTTTTCTTTTTTTGTGACATCTTTGTCTGGTTTTGGTATCAGGGTGATGGTGGCCTTGCAGAATGAGTTTGGGAGTGTTCCTCCCTCTGTTATATTTTGGAAGAGTTTGAGAAGGATAGGTGTTATCTCTTCTCTAAATGTTTGATAGAATTCACCTGTGAAGCCATCTGGTTCTGGGCTTTTGTTTGTTGGAAGATTTTTAATCACAGTTTCAATTCCAATGCTTATGATTGGTTTGTTTCTATTTTTTATTTCTTTCTGATTCAGTCTCGGAAGGTTGTGCTTTTCTAATAATTTGTCCATTTCTTCCAGATTGTCCATGTTATTGGCATAGAGTTGCTTGTAGTAATCTCTCATGATCCTTTGTATTTCTGCAGTGTCAGTTCTTACTTCTCCTTTTTCTTTTCCAATTCTATTGATTTGAGACTTCTCCCTTTTTTTTTTGATGAGTCTGGCTAATGGTTTATCAATTTTGTTTATCTTCTCAAGAAACCAGCTTTTAGTTTTATTGATCTTTGCTATTGTTTCCTTCATTTTTTTCCCATTTATTTCTGATCTGATCTTTATGATTTCCTTCCTTCTGCTAATTTTGGTTTTTTTTGTTCTTCTTTCTCTAATTGCTTTTGGTTTAAGGTTAGGTTGTTTATTTGAGGTGTTTCTCGCTTCTTGATGTAGGATTGTATTACTATAAACTTCCCTCTTAAAACTGCTTTTGCTGCATCCCATAGGTTTTGGTTTTCGTGTTTTTATGGTCATTTGTTTCTAGGTATTTTTTGATTTCCTCTTTGATTTCTTCAGTGATCTCTCGGTTATTTAGTAGTTTGTTGTTTAGCCTCCATGTGTTCGTACTTTTTACAGATTTTTTTCCTGTAATTGATATCTACTCTCATAGTGTTGTGGTTGGAAAAGATACTTGATACAATTTCAATTTTCTTAAATTCACCAAGGGTTCATTTGTGACCCAAGATATGATCAATCATGGAGAATGTTCCATGAGCACTTGATAAAAAAGTGTATTCTGTTGGTTTTGGATGGAATGTCCTATAAATATCAATTAAGTCCATCTTGTTTAATGTATCATTTAAAGCTTGTGTTTCCTTATTTATTTTCATTTTGGTTGATCTCTCCATTGGTGAAAGTGGCATCTTAAAGTTCCCTACTATGACTGTGTTACTGTCTATTTCCCCTTTTATGGCTGTTAGCATTTGCCTTA